AAAAAAAAAAAAAAAAAAAAAAATTAAAAAAAAAAAAAAAAAAAAAAAAAAAAAAAAAAAATAAATAAATAAATAAATAAATAACAGAAATTTATTCCTCACCCTGCTGGAGTCTGAAAAGTCCAAGATCAAGGCATTGGTGGATTTGGTTCCTGGTGAGGGCCCTCTTCCTGGTTGTGACCTCAAAGGGCAGAGAGAGATCACCTCTCTCGTGTTTCTACCGGCCATCCCTATATGAGATCTGAACCCATGGCCTTGGTGTTATCAGCACCACATTCTCCCAAGTGAGCCACAGGCCAGCCCTCATGTTTCTTCTTAAAAGGGCACTAATTCCATTCATGAGAACTCCACCTTATGACCTAATTACCTCCCTAAGACCCCACCTCCAAATACCATCACATCTGGGATTAGGGTTTCAACATGTGAATTTTAGAGGACAAAAGCATTCAGTCCATGGCAGCCACCAAGTATGAATCAGATCTAGTGGTGGGGAGTGGAAAGAATCCACTTGATGGAAGGAAGGGACAGTGCAAAGGCTCTGAGGCAGGGACTATTTAGGGGAATGGCTAATTCTGGGGTCCTTGGGGAGAGGAACTAGGAGAAGAGGGGTGGTAAGGGACGTGAAGACCGTAGCTACAAGATATCCAGATTTTGTTGGATTGGCAGCGGGAAGCTACTGCGGGAATCTGAGCTGTGGAGTAAACTGCCCAGGGCTGTGCTTTGGGAAGCAGCCTGTAGGGCAGATTGGGAGGGGGAGGGGCACAGAGTGCTGGCAGGGAAATCAGTTTAGAGATGACCATAAATAGCTCTGCTGTCACTACCTCCCCCACAAACCTCTCCTCCTATTTTCCAATTTCTAATAATGGCATTGCCATTCTTTCAGCCCTGGGCATGGAAGCCTGAGTCACTCTGACTCCTCTCCTTGTCATGCCCCATGACCAGCCAGCTGTAATTCCTGCCGATTCCTTCTCCTCCACACTGTTTCTGGTGTCCTCCCCTTTTGGGGGTCCTGCCTTCCCCAGGCCTGCTCCCCTGCCTCCTAACATCCCCTCACCACTGTTGCTAGATGCTACTCCCTGCCTGCAAACACACCACAAAACTAATGCCCTGGAGTGTCCCTCCCTTTCCCAGCCTGCCTATCCAGCCTCCTCCCAAAATCTTAGATGTCCTAGAAGAGCTAGCTTGGTGGATGCTCCTCCCCTAAGCTCTCCAGGGTCACCCCCATCAGAGGTGATTTTCTCTTTTCCAGATCCTCATGTGTCATCTACACTCCTGTTGGGACACTTTCCTCTTGTCCCTGGGTTTGTTGTGATTGCATATGTGTGTGTCTGGCTCCTAGAGGTATGGGGAACTGAATGATATGCATTTTTGTGCCTCCACATGGAACTTGCAAGTGACCTAGACTTTGGGGGTGGGAGTGCAGGCTGGCTGGTTAGCTCAGTTGGTCAGAGCGTGGTGCTGATTACACCAAGTTCCAGGGTTTCATTTTGTTTTTTGTTCATTTCACTTTGGCAGCTGGCTCCAGCTGCCAAAATGAAATAAACAAAAAATAAATTGGGGATTGATTAAAAATGTGGAAGGGTGGGAGCTTCCAGTTCCACTGACCCCAAACTGGAGGACTTAATCTCCTTTCCTTTAAACATCATTTTTTTTTTTTTTTTTTTTTTCTTTTGTCTTTTTTCCGTGTCCGGCAACGGATCGCAACCCTCAGTGTTGCCCCCGTACCGGACTGGGGACTGGCAACGGGATTGCAAACCTCGGCGTTGCTCCCGTGCCTCGCTCAGCCAGTGAGCGGGAACCGGTCTGTATGTGGGATCCGAACCCTCGGGCGGCAGCGCTGCCGTGCTTCCCAAGCGGCGCACTATCCAGTGCGCCACCGGGCCGGCCCTAAACATCATCTTTTTCTGCAGCATCTTTCAGGGCCAATAGTTACCACCACGAGAAATTCCCAACAAGCACAATAAATAGGGGCTCTGGTCTCTTCTTCTTTCTTCTTAAAAGAATAATGTCTCTTTAGGTATGTGGGTTTGAACTGAAGTTCTGCTAATTCCCAGCTGTGTGACTTTCAGCAATTGTCCTAACCTCTCTGAGCCAAAGGAGCTAACACCAGCCTCCTCACCAAATGGGCACTGTATGAGGAAGGCTGGCATGGAGTTGGAGGCCTGGGATACAGGCAGCGAAAGGCAGTTTTTTTTTTTTTTTTTTTTTTTAAAGATGACCAGTAAGGGGATCTCAACCCTTGACTTGGTGTTGTCAGCACCACGCTCACCCAGTGAGCAAACCGGCCATCCCTATATGGGATCCGAACCCGGGGCCTTGGTGTTATCAGCACCGCACTGTCCCGAGTGAGCCACAGGCCGGCCCCAGGAAAGGCACTTTTAAAAAGACTTTGCCTCAATTTTTCCCAGCTGCTGCTGCTGCTGTGCTAGCAAAGGACATAAGTGTTTCCACGCTGATCCCTCAGCAGGCAAAGGCCGGACTCTGTAACACACTGTGACTGCGGTACTGCCTCTCACCAGGCCTCTGAGACCCCAGTCCATTAGAGGAACAAGTGAGTCCTTGGGGGTGGGCAGCAATTTCCTTCCCACCATTTTGGAAGTGGTAGTGTGGGTAGTTGATGTACCTAACCAAATCTGATTGTTTGTACCAGAAGGATCCTCAAGCGTCCTTTCTCCCAATTTACAGGTGTGGATACTGAGGTTGAGATGCCTGATAAAACCAGGTTGGCATGAAAGCCGAATGCCAGAGGCTTCCATGGTCTCTACCTGTGTTTTAAGCAAGCGAACTGGGAACAGAGTGAAAGGGATAAGAGGTAATTCTGGGACACTGTGGCCCAAGATCAGCCCTTTGTGTGAGGCTTCAGATTTGGAGGGCCCAAAAGCAGCCTCCGGTTGATTCCAGGGCCAAAGCAATAGCTCTGCCAGGCTCGGACTGGGTGAGGCAAGCTTTGGAGTCAGCAATGCAAGGTGGCCTTCCTGGCCCAGCTCCACCTGGCAATGTTGACTGTGAGGCAGTGGAAGAGAGAGCTGGGAACACAGGGCAGAAAGGTTGCCCCTATTTGGAGTGAATTGGTGTGACCCGGATAGGAGGGCGGGGGAGGTCAGATTTTTCGAAATAAAACCCGACCCTCAGCTGGTGTCTCATTTGAAGAAAATGGGTGAAGAAAGAGACTTTGGTTGTTTATGGCAGAACCAGTAAGTATTGTCTTTTATATGCAAACAGGGAAAAATGGAACTGTTTGCAGTGGTAGCCGACTGCTTTATGCCCTGGCTATGTGACCACCCAGGATGGTAGCTGCTAAGCTTCTTCACGTTCCGGCTGCATGACCAGACATCTGGAATGTGATAAACCTCGCTAGTGGCTGTCGGGCAGAGGATGCATCCCATGCCATTTACAGACATAATTTCACCCACGTCTCTTGGCAGCCCTGTTATTGTTATGATTCCCATTTGGCACAGGAGAAAACAGACTTCAGCTATGCTAAGAGGCTTCGTGGACTAGCAGCTTGACCTAGTGAGAAGCAGAAGAGGCATTTCAACTCTCGACTCCGGCGAACCTGAGACCCACGGCGCCCGTGGTCTTGGTTCAAGAACGCAGAGTCCGCGCTTGGTTGATGAGCCTTGGATTCAGCCGGCAAACGCGAAGGACTCAGGGGTTGGCTCAGCTTTGTCGTTGGGTTTAAGTTAAAGTGCCAGCAACTGACATCCTGGTTTAAATGGGGCATCCTGTAGAGGTTTAGCCTTCCAAGTGGCTCGTCTAACCTTCCAGCTCCAACCCCACTCGCGGCACTCGGAGCTCTCACCTCCTCTTGCTCCCGCCGAGCTGGGTTCGCAGCGGCGCGCACGGAAGCCCGGGGTGGGCGCTGCGGCCGGTCCCGGCTCTGGCGAGGCCCAGAGAGAGGTCGGGCCGGCCTTGGCCCCGCCCCCTCCCCGGCGAGGCCCAATGGGCGCGGGCCCTGGCAGCCCCGCCCCGGTGGTGCC